TCTTTTGGTACCGGAGATCGAACTCAGGACCTTGTGCTTGCAAGGTAGGTGGTGGAACCACTGAGCTAAATCCCCAGCCCCAGAATATGCTTTTTTTGATGGAAAACCGTATTGTGTTCATAGTATAGAAACTTTAATATTCTATCAATACTACAGATTTAATGCAGTTCCAATCAAAATCTCAGACAGAATAGTCAAGTTGATACTTAATATTTTTAAAGACCTTTTATTTGTCTACATTATGATAATTTTTTTATACTGAGTCTCAACTAGTTCAGGCTGACCTTGAACTCACTGTAGCCTAGGCTGGCCTAGAATTCCCAACAGTCCTTTTGCCTCAGCCTCCCAAGTGCTAGGATTATAGTCATGCATCACCATATCTGGCTTATTTCACATCCTTTTTAATAGCCAAATTCCTCAAAAAGATTATCCACATTTTATCTGTTCACCATCTGTTCAGATCTTCATCATCCTTAATTCTACTTGTCCCAATGCCCTCCTATTTCACTAGGTTGTTTTTTTCTGGGAAGGGGGAGGTTTGGCAGGAGCGGGTGCTGAGGGTTGAAGCCTAGGGGCTTCACACTGAGCTACACCCCCAGCCCTTTAAAAAATTTATTTTTGAGACAGGATCCCACTGATGGCTAAGTTTTCCAGGCTGGGCTTAAACTGACCTTCCTGCCTCAGCCTCCCATAGAGCTGAGGTTACAGGTGTGTGCCACCATGCCAAGCATCTAGGTGCTTATTGAAAGAAATGAAAGTACACACTTTCATTCCTCATCTCTTAATTCTAGGCAGTATTGACAAAATAAACTTTTTCCCCTGAAAGCCTTCTACTTCTTTTTCTAGCTCATTAAATGCTAGAATTCTTCAATATACTTGGGCAGGGTTTTTCTTTTTTCTTTATTTTTTTTCATGGTCTCATCTATTCACTGCTGTGGCGGTGTTTGCCATTTATATTCTGACAACTCAGACATTATGTCTAGCTCAAACAACAGATCTATAGCCTTTGCTGCAAAAACTAAAATGAAAAAATTAGGGTCAGATGAGATGCCCTTTTTCCTTCCATTTTTTACAGTAGAACTCTTTTCAGCCTGTAGTAAACATCAGAGACACTGGAAGGCTTGTTAAAATACAGATTTCTGGGCCTCCTCCGAAGCATTTCAGTAGGTCTAGGGGATAGACCTGAGAATTTCCACTTACAGCAAGTTCCCTGGTGTTGCTGATATAGGGACATTTGAGATCCATAGCAGTAGAAAGTCAAAATGACCTGTTTGACTGCCGGGAAGTGGCAGAACTGGAATTTAATGCCAAACAGAACCAAGCTTACTCTGTTAACTCACCATCCCATCCCTCTTTCTTAGGAATATCACAAATACCCTGTGTTCACAACTAAACCTCGTATTATTCCTATCTGGTCTACCTCCTTGGTTTCCTTTTCTACCATTAGTACTATATAGGCTAGAAACTTCCCTCTTTACCTTAACCCCTGCCCCCAACATTGAGTCTACTACCAAGCCCACAAGCCAACAAGCATTCTCAAATTTATCCACTTTCTTCCTTTGCCATTGCCAGCAACAAAAAGTCAAGGTCACCATCAGCCTCTCTTAGATTGCTAAAATAGCTAACTGGCCTGCCTACATCTCTTTGCCCTCTTTTAGTTCATTATAGCAATAGCAATAAGTAGTTCTTTTAAAAGGCAAATAAGTTAAAATACGTAACTCAATAAAACCCTTTAATCTAGCCAGATGTGATGGTGCACACCTGTAATTGCACTTTTTCAGAGACTGAGGCAGGAGGATTACAAGTTTAAGGGCAGTTAGGTAGACAAGTTAGCTAGGCCTTATCTCAAAAATGAGGGCTGGGGATATAGCAGCTCAGTGCTCCCTTAGTTCAATCCCTAGTACCATTAAATATATACATACATATCCTTTTATCCCTTCTGAAAAAAGGGCCAAGTCTTTAGCCGTGGTGTACAAGGCTCAGTATGACCTACAGTGCATACTTGGCCACCATTTATACTCTTCTTTCACACTCATGTAATCCTACTCTCCTCTATAGTTGTGCCAGAGCTGTTTGGTGATTTTGAGGCTTTTAACTGTACACTAGAACCATTGCTGTGTGATAGTTTATTGTATTATGTAACAATTTATTTGCCTATTTAGATATTTTTTGAATAGGTACAGAGAACTTTTTAGCTTGTTTTCATTTTTTTGTTTTAATTTTGGATGTTGGGAAGCCAGAGGAGTCAAGGATGGGTGATACTAGAAACAAGTTAAATGGGAGGTGTTAATGGCGATTGTTAAAAGACATTTTTTTTTGTACCGGGGATCGAACTTGGGACCTTGCACTTACGAGGCAGGCAGGCAGCGGAACCACTGAGCTAAATCCCTGGCCTGTTAAAGGACATTTTAAAAAAAACGTTTTGAAAAGCGGGTGGGTGGTGGTGCACACCTATAATCCTAGCACTCTGGGAGGACTTGTCAGTTCCAGCTCACCCTGAACAAAGTAATGAGACCCTATCTCAAAAACTAAATAAAAAGGACTGGAAATGTAATGTAGCGCAATAGAGAGAGGGTTTAGAACAGTTAAGATGATGGAGTCAGAAGCAGAAACCTAGATACTAAACTAAAAAGTTTGAAGACTGTCCCAAAAGCTGTGGTGAACCAATTTAAAAATTTACTATTCTCGCTTTATTTCTTTTCCACTTTGGAGCCAGTACAGAGCCACCAACCTATTCTACTGTATTTTGTACTTAATGTATCATAATAGTAACATTTGGGCTGTTTCTATTTTATTTTAATTTTTTTGGAGACAGGATTTTGCCATGTAGTTCAGGTTGGCTTTGAACTCACGTGTATCCTAGGCTGGCCTCAGACTTGGGGTGATCCTCCTGCCTCAGCCACCTGAGCTCTGGTGTTACAGGCATGCACCACCATGCCAGCTTTGGCTTGCATTATTAAGCAATTTAATTTCTACCCTGTGGATATCATTGAAGAAACAGGCAGGCAGGCAATCACATAGCAGTAACATAGCTAGGATTGGCATCTAATTCATCTTGACTTTTTTGTATGTGTGGGGGACTTTTTATTTTTGCACCTTGACTCATAAGGCCCATTCCTAACCAGTGCACTACTGTACTTAAGTTTTCAGTGTGCCCATGTTCCCTTGATTGGAAACCATATCTGAAAAAAAAGAAAACCATATCTGAACCTTGGATTGTCAGTTCATAAATTACTTTAGGTGTATTTTCTTTATTCTTACATGTGAATAATATTTAATTGAAGATATTAGCACATGTATTGGTTTCTGGTGTTAGTTTTCCAAATATTTTGAGCAAGTCAAAAATGCCAGTTACAGGGGTCAATGGTAGAGCTCCGTGCAAACACAAGGTCCTGAGTTCGATCCCTGGTATTGAGAAAAATAAAAAAATACCAGTTGCATGTTATGACATTATCTGTTTTGAACAAATAATGCACACATTCTTTTTTTTTTTTTTTGGTACGGGGGATTGAACTCCTCGGGACCTTGAGCTTGCGAGGCAGGTGCTGGAACCACTGAGCTAAATCCCTGGCCCTTTCAATAAATAATGGAAACCATGTATTTCAGACATTAGACAAAGATGAGTTAACCACTTACCAATCCAATTATTTAAATACAGGATGACCAAAAAATTTGCATGTTTTTATGTTAATTTTTATAAGATAATATGACTGGAAACATAAAAAAAAGATTTTATCAAATTTATTAAATAATTTTTCTGTGTATGGTATATCTTAAAACATTCAGTATACCAATGTTAAGATCTGGACAGTAGTATTCTCTTTCTGAATTGTTTTTGCATTATTGTCTTTCTTTGAACAACACTGTACACTCAGGTTGGTCTTTCTTTTTTTTCTGTGGGTGATATAATTTCAATAAGATGTCTACCCACTAAACGTAATTTGTGAAGATGTCAGTGATGAACGTCCTGGTTGGAGTTTCACTATCTCGTATATTTCAATTATTTGGTCTATTAGACCTAATCCAAATTGTAAATGACTTTCTGAACCCCCTTGTTTTGAAAAAGTAACAGATGAGTTCCATATTGTTTGGTCCAGAAGGTGCATAAATATTTTATTTTTCTCTTTGAGTTTTGATTAAAGGATAGCTTGTTAGATATTGGTCAACTCTGTCAACACCACCCATAGGATTATTGTAATCATTGACCACGTTGGAATTTTTTTAGTTTCTTCTTTCAGTTTCTATCATTTCTGTATTATGAATAGTTAACAATAGAGATGTCTTTTTTCTTTCCATTCCATAATACAGACTTCTCCTCTGTGATATGCTAACACTTCTTTCTTTCAGTTCTTTTGCAGTTCTTGGGGCACTTTCTTCCCTTCTATTCACTCTATATCCCAAGTCTGTTTTGTATTGGAAAAGAATATCATTGAGTTCTGGTGAAGTATAAAAGTTATATCAAATGTACTTATGATAGAGTTTTTACGGATTGTAGCACAAAAATATGTCATTTTTCACAAATATACATGAGTTAGTAAAAGAAAATAACCAGAATTTATTAGATTTCGCTAGAAACAAAATGTAGGGGCTGGCAATTTAGCTCAGTGGCACTACACCTGCCCCTCAGTGCAAGGTCCTGAGTTCGAGCCCTGGTACCAAAAAAAAGTGCAAAAATAAGTCTATAAAACAAACAGATGAACAAGTGCATCTCATGCAAACAAGAATCCTGGTTGAAAGGACACCTGCCCAAGTTACTGGGGATAGTGTGTAAACAAACAAACGCTGGAGTAAACTATTAAGTGGTTAAGCCAGGCACAGATTGCTGTCCTTGAGTTTAACTTTGTTTGGTACTGATTGTTCAGCATATAGTACATATCCAGCATTTGCAGATAATCCTTTTTATTTTGTCTGCATAAGAAATGATTCTAAGAAGAAAGTGATGTTTTGGGTGGTGGCTGTGGTGTGGCTTGTAAGTAAACAGTTCTGTGCATCCCTTTCAGATTTGGACGGTGCTCTATTCTCGGGGCCAGATGGTGTAAATGCAAGTCTATTGGCTGAAGCCTGGTGTACTCAAGATGGAGGTGATGCTGGTAGGTACAGTAAAATTTTTAGCAAGAGAACATTTAAGAGGATTTGAAGATGAAGACATGCTTTTTTTTTTTTACTGGGGCCTAATGTGTCTTTCCTTATATATGTTAATACTTAATCTGTGGTAGCTTTGTTTATGATGACTAGAAACTTGGTAAGCACAAATTGATGTTTCTGGTTTTATTTGGGGGGCTGGTTGATTGGTTGACTTTTAATATTTAAATTTTAGTGCATGTTTGTACTACATAATTACACTCCTCATCCTGGGGATTGGTACATGTACATAACACATCTTATTTATTTTATCCCCTTCCTGTCCCCTCCCTTCCATTCCTTGATCCTCTTTGCAAAAGATCTATTTCCCTGTTTATTATCTTTTACTGTGCTTTTAAATTTATTTAGACTTCTGGTTTCACATATAAGAAACCATGCTTTATATCTGATTTATTTTACCTAACATTATGGTCTAAAGGTTCATCCATTTTCCCACAAATGACTTAAAGTTATCTTTCTTTATGGCAGAGTAGTACTCCAATTTGCATAAATACCACATTTTCTTCATCCATTTGTTGATAGACATATAGGCTGCTTCTAAGATTTATCCAAATTTAGATTTAGTTTTGTGAGTTGTACTACTGTAAGCATGGGTTTGCATATATCACTGTAATAAGAGGGGTAGGGGCTTATTAATTAGAACTTTAAAAACTTGTAAATATTGAAGATAGCTAATAACACTTATAACTTCCTGATGGTATATAGGTGAAATGGCTTTGCAGGTCAAATGCCTTGAATTTTGAGGATTTTTTTTTTTTTGGTAGTGCAGAAAATTGGTTATACAAGAGTATTTCACTTGCTTTCTTGGTTTAAAAATCTGATCCAGAGTTGGGTTTAATGGGAGAATGTGAAGTCGTACATAAAATTTTAAATTCACACTCAATATTTTCTGTGGAGGAGGATCCACGTCATTTATTTCATTCTCAAAAAAGTAAACCCGGGCCGGGGATTAGCTCAGTGGTTCTGGCGCCTGCCTTGCAAGCTGAGGATCCAAGTTCGATCCCCGGTACCAAAAGAAAGAGTAAACCCTTGCCAGAGTAAATACTTGCTGGGCGTCATGGCACACACCTGTAATCCCAGCACTCGGGAGGCTGTGGCAGGAGGATCACTTGGAGTTCGAGGCAAGCCCGGGCTACATGGTGAATTCAAGGTCAGCCTGAACTACATAGCAAGACCCTATCGCCAAAAAACAAAACACCAAAACAAAAAACCAACCAAAAACAGAGAAAACAAACCCTTGATTTGAATCATTTCTCTTAGGAAGGGGACATTTTGATCCATTAGTATTTTTGCATCTGAGATCAGCCTTTGTCTTATAACTTATGTCTTAGGACATCAAAGTGTTGCTTTCTGCTTAGTATGCCATTATGGAATAATGTACCTAAAAGATATTGAACACTAACCAATTTGAAGTAGATCCTTAATGATAGGGCTATAAATGTATTGAATTACAATGACATTACTTTTATTCAGGTGATTGTAATTCCTATAAATGATCTTTCTTAGTTACAAGAATTAGAAGAGATGTAAGAAATTTGGGGCAAGACTATATTCTAAATAGCGTCTTACCTGTTACCATGGATGCTTTGTATGGAAATGAAATTTCAGGTATTGGAAAAGTGTAATTCTGAAACTTTGATTTTCAGTTCATAAATCGTTATTTTCTATCTGTATATATTTAATTGAAGATACTGGCACAACCAACGTGATTTCTGGCATTAGTTTTCCAAGTATTTTGATTTTTTTTTTTTGAAACAGGTTTTCACTATGCAGATCAGGCTGGCCTTGAACTCTCTATGTAGCCAAGGTTGGCCTTGAACTCACAGTGATCCTCCTGTCGGCTCAGATTATACATGTGCACCATCATGCCCAGTTTTTCCAAGTGTTTTGAGCAAGTAAAAAATCAGCTACATGGTATAGCTTTTGGTAAATAAAATTATTCCACAAATAATTGGAAGACATTTTTATGTTTTATTAGAACTACAAAGATCAGAAAGACAATCATTCTCTCAGAGCTTAATTTGTTTGGTAATGACTTAGATAAGAAATATGAATCATGAAGCCACAACTCTTCAGAAATTTGAAAGTAAAAATTGATTGAAGGCCGGGGATTTAGCTCAGTGGTTCTGGCACCTGCCTCAAAAGTGCAAGGTCCTGAGTTCGATCCCTGGTACCAAAAAAACCAAACCAAAACTAAAAATTGATTAACCTCCACAGGCTGCTGTTGCCATCATAGTCCCTTTCCTATACACATGGAAATGTTTCATTTTGGATTTCTGAAAACTTTTTCCCTGAAATAATTATATGAGTTCAAAGGTTTTTCTTGATATCAAAAATAGGGAAGTTGTATTCTGCACTTGATCTTAGCCAAAAGGCCGAGAAGCGATGGGAAGTTGTATTCTGAGTACAAAACAATTTATGTATTAGTGCATTTAATTTAACATACATTAGAGCCTTTTTACTTCATTGGATATTGATGCTTTCACTAAAGAGGGGTACATCTTAAATTTCTCAGTTGTTAAGTGTCTGGTAAATATGAGAAAGTGTATTTTTATGAAATTACACCTTGATAAAAATTTTTTTATTAAAACCATAATGTTCTTGGGAGTAACATTTTATTACAGATTGAATTATACCTTATCCTAAAGCGCTGGGATCACAAGTGCTTTAAGTTATTGGAGTTTTTTAGATTTTGGAATATTTGCATGGAGTTTATCAATGAAACATCTCTAATCTGAAAATTCAAAATGCAAAACTTTGAGCATCATGTGGTGTTCAAAAAATCTCAAGATTTGGAAGAATTTCAGATTTCAGGTTTTTGGATTAGGGCTCCTGAGCCTGTATTGTTGCATAACTGAAGTATGTATACATATATCTTGGAAAGGAGTTTTTCAGGTGCATAATAAATGCCTTGAAGTAGGAGCCTGCTTACTTACCATTGAACTACACAGAGGCCCATGGGGTTGGACTGGAGTCATCAAGGTGGATAGTTGGAGGATAGGGCTCCCTCTGGTAAGGCTTTGTAGGATGTTGAAATTGGTTTTTTACTTGTGAGTGAGGTGAATAACTCTTTCAGACTTTCCATAGGCTGGAGACAGGCTTTCAGTTGGTATTTTAAAAGAAGCTTTGATTGCTATGTGAAGTACAGATTCTGAAATGGCAGTAGAAGGGGGAGCAGGGAGACAAGTGAGCAGCCACTGAAAATAATCCAGAAGCTAGAATCAATGATTGCTGATTGGATCAGAATTGCAGTAGCTATGGAGGATTCTCTTTCTCTCTCTGTCTCTCTATACACACACAAACACACACAGACACACACACACACATACAGTATATATTGTCCAAAGATTCCTGGATCTAAGGAATTAAATGCAAATTCAAAAATAGAATTAAATCCAGGGGGAGGTAATTCCTGCCCTCTCTTAATCTGTTTACTGTTACTATATTGAAATACTTGAGGGCCGGGGATTTATTTAGCTCAGTGGTTTCGCCACCTGCTGCGCAAGCCCAAGGACCCAAGTTAGATCCCTGGTACCAAAAAAAAAAAAAAAAACTTGATGCCAGATATTGTATAAAGGAAAGAGATTTAATTTAGTTACCTAACAGTTCTGGAGGTTTGAGTTTTATTTAGTTCATTTATGGTAAGATGTTGTATCACTGTTCTAGGATACAAATATGTTTTGGGTTTTTTTTTACTAGAGAGACAGATCCTCATTGTTATTTCAAAATCAACTTTTTTATTGTATTAGGTACTTCACATGATTATAAGTATGGTTTGATACCTGGCCTGTCAAGTGATTACAAGTATGGATTGCTACCAGGTACTTCAAATGATTATAAGTATGGGTTGCTACCAGGTGCTTCAAATGATTTCAAGTATGGATTACTGCCAGAATCTTGGCCAAAACAAGAAACTTGGGAAAATGGTAAGTATTGATCAGCAAAACAAGTACAGAATTCTGATTTTTTTTTTTTTTTCTGGTACCAGGGATTGAACTTGGGACCTTGCACTTGTGAGGTGGGCGATGGCACCACTGAGCTAAATCCCCAGCCCTGATTTTTCTTTTTGGAGACAAGTTTTTGCTGTGTCTTCATAGCAAAAGCTGGCCCTGAAGTTACTGTGCAGCTCAGGCTACCCTCAAAGTTAGGATGTTCCTTGGGCCAGGGATTTTAGCTCAGTGGTTCTGCTGCCTGCCTCACAAGCACAAGGACCCAAGTTCCATCCCCAGTACAAAAAAAAAAGTTAGGATGTTCCTGCTTCAGCCTCCTGAGTGTTGAGATTACAGGCATGCATCATCATGCCTGGCAGAATTTAAAAATAATTTCTAACAATTAAAAAGCTTCCCTATTCTAGGTTTAAAAAAATACATAGTTGCCGGGGATTTAGCTCAGTGGTGCTGCTGCCTGCCTCCCAAGCGCGAGGTCCTGAGTTCGATCCTCAGTTTCAAAAATAAAACAAAAACCAACAAAAAATATATAATAATCCCATATTTATTTATTGTTCTAGAAATGTTGTAGATGTTCTAGAAACTTGATAGCAAGTTTAATGAGTGTTTCATTTTTTTAATACTTAAAGGTGAATCATCTCTAATCATGGTGAACAAGTTAAAATGCCCTCATTGTAGCTATGTAGCCAAATACAGACGAACACTAAAAAGGCACTTGCTTATTCATACGGGAGTGAGATCATTTAGCTGTGATATTTGTGGGAAGCTGTTTACTCGAAGAGAACATGTAAAAAGACATTCCTTGGTAAGTAATTTTAAATACAACTGATCTTTGTGATACACTGTTTATCCCAGTGAAGTTTAAAGCATTTTAATAGTTATTTTCAAATTTAAGAATGATTGTTAAATTGCTTTAAACAAAAAGTGTGTGAAATGATACTGAACTTCATATGAAAAGCATTGGTATATGCACTCATTGTGGTTTAATTTGAGTGGTTCAAATGCATTCCTTTTCTATATTATCCTTATATTGGATTTTTCCCCCCCTTTAATTAGGTGCATACAAAGGATAAAAAATACAAATGTATGGTGTGTAAGAAGATCTTCATGTTAGCAGCCAGTGTTGGAATAAGACATGGATCTCGTCGCTATGGTGTTTGTGTAGACTGTGCAGATAAATCACAGCCAGGAGGGCAAGAAGGTATAGATCAGGGACAGGATACAGAATTCCCTCGGGATGAAGAATATGAGGAGAATGAAGTACGAGAAGCTGATGAAGAGCTAGTTGATGATGGAGAAGATCAGAATGATCCACCTCGATGGGATGAATCAGAAGATGTTTGTGTGCCCCTGGATGATTAACTGACCTACTATACTCCTCAAGGATGCTGCATTTGGACATAATATGAATCGACAATTTGGATTGTTGAACTTGAAGGCTTGCAAAATATGGTACATGCTGGATGGTAGTTATGTTGCTGTGAAAACTGTAGGGTCAAAGCCTTATAGCAAAAAAAAAAAATTTTTTTTTTTATATTTGCACAGGACTGTACAGCGAACAACCATGTGGTTGCTTACATGGAGTCCCCCACATATTCAGTCAGTTATCAAAGTAAAATATTTTTTATTTATAGGATATACAGTAACTATTTGGGTCCTATAAAAATATAGTACCTGTCCTTAATAGCTTACATTCATGTGCTGCTTTAACATGAATGAAGAAAATCCATTTATGGAAGTACAGTGACAGCTGACCCAATCACTCTGTCCATCAAACCACTCAGGCTAGTTTGTACTAGTAGAGTTTTGTTTCTATTTTTATTTTTATTAATTTTATTTTTTTTAATACAGATTTTTCAGTGAGGGGCTTTTTCAACCCCATTGGTTCTATTTTCTTGTATTTTTTCCATTTTAATTTGCTTCATAACTTAAACAAAATCTCCTAGTCTTAGGTATTATTTCTCAATTTTGTGCTGATGGGCATGTGTATGAGAACTGGAGAGGTAATTTATTGGAATGAACTGACTTCCCCCAGCCCCTTTCCTTTTTTGACATGAATTTTACAAATGAAGAATAATGTTGCAAAGTTAATGTGGCAAAGTTGACAAAGACCACTAAAATGATTATGATTTAGAAGTAACTTTTTCCTGCTGCTCTAATCTGAAAAATGGTTACTCTATGATGTTTTTTTACATGGTATTTGGTTTTGGGTATCTGTTACTTTGGCACTATTCTTGTTTGCCTCTTATTTTTGCCAGTGTACTATACCTCAGCCTTATTTGAGAGACAGAAAGTGGATTTTAAAAAGTCATAGAAACAATAAGTAAAGTAATTTGTTTTATAATTTATCTTCCATGTCCAGTTTGGTTAGCTTGTTATGCAATATAAGTGAAATATCAGGTTTCTATTCCTGTGCCCTTTTTATCATTAAAATTAACACAAAATGCGTTCTCTTGTTTCATACTTACTGGGATATTGAGTTTTTGAAATTATTGTTGATTTATTAAGTTAATTTATTTTTTCATTCCCTAAATTCACTACACCTTGATACAGTCTGTAGTCACTGTAACTTAACAGTGTGCAAAAATCATACAAAAAAATTGTTGAGAGGCTTTATTCTAGTATCTAAATTTTTCAGGGTACAAAGGGTGGTATATTAAGTTGCTATTGTTAGATTTATTTAGGTAACAAATGAATTAGCTGATTGTGGAACTCTCAGCAACATTTCATGTATTAACATAGACAACATTTATTGGGAGCATATTCTATATTATATAAGATTGAGGGACATCATATTTTCAGCTTTCTTTTAAATAAAAATCAAGTATATTTTCCTATTTTATATCAGGTGACTAAATTATGCTAGTTGTGTGGGAAAAATTGCAGATACTTTGACAGATGACAATGCTTTTGGTGCTCCATCTGATCAAAGTTGAAAACAGTTGATTTTTTAAACAAGATGTATCCGTTTCTCTGATTTCAATAGAATAATGGTGTAATGTTAGGCAATGAACTTTCTGCTTGGTTAAATCAAAGAAGAAAATCACAGTTACATGGTTAGTTGTACCTTTTGTCATCCAAACTTTCTTGTAGTTTATACATAACTGTAAGCCTGACAGAGGAATAGTTTGGTTTGATTTTTGCTTAAAACTGAAGACTACATCTTATTCTCAGTGTTCTAGATGAATGAGTAAAATATAATTCTAGTGAGGTCCAAAATAGAAATTAGTTGGGCAAAGATACTATGAATGAAAATTATTTTAAACATAAAATGTTCTGCTTTGTGAATATGTAAGTATAGTATAAAGATTTCTCTCATCCTGTTTTATCCCCTTTAAACCATAGTTTACAATTGGTAGATCTGTCTATATATAAATATATATTAAAGAGCAAAGATATATATCTAAAAAAATCACCTAAATCTGCTTTATTAGGCTATAGTTCACTTATTGCATAGAAACTGGACTTGGCTTTACATTCTTAATGTACTTTTACTTTTCTTCAAGATATGAACTTACTCTCTTGAAACTGAATTTTCTTTTATTACTTAAATCATATTTGTATATCTGGTAAATTATGACCAAATTTTTGTTAGGTTGCATACAGTAAATTGAAATACACTCTTGGTACACTACGGGATTGTTGTGCTTTTGTTTTGGTTTTAGTTGGAAATAAGGTTTGATGTAGATGGCTTGTTACTGTTAATTTAAAATATTCTATAATTGTCCATTAATTTTTAATGTTGTATTGTGACATATTTGGCTATATTTTTTAGTCATCTGACATATGATATTTTAAAAGTTTGTTTTTAGGTAATCCAAAGGAAAAAATGTTTATACTCTTGAATATATTAGCCTCAGCCTATATAAAAATTTCCTTGAAGTAAACATTTTACCAGAAACAAAATTGACAGATTTTTCTACTTGCTGACTGCCTAACTTATTTTGTTTCATGATCTCGAGGGACTGCCTATTTCCCTTCTAGATCTTTTTTTAAAAATAGTTTTAGTACTAAGGTATACTACTGGATGTTTCTATTTTTTTAAGTATATTCTTTTTTCTGACTTAAAGTACAACAATTTCAGGAAGTTGATAGATATTAAGGACTTATGATTGGTCTCAGAGGTATCAGTGGAATGAGTACTCATAGTTTTGTCTGTGAAACTCTGGCAGAATTATGTGTTACACATTTGGTGAAGTTTTCTCTTGTAATTTATATTTTAAATGAAAAATATTTTAGAGCTTTTAATTTTAATTAAGGGGAAGTTTATAAACTTTCACATTCACTCTGTAGTAACAGGCCCTTTCATAAACCAAGATCATATTATTTTTTAAGATTCTTGAAACAGTTACTTCCATCTGGTTCCCTTTGTCATGGTTCTTGGCCCTCATTTTAGATAATTTGCTAAATTTTAGCATCCTAGCAATTGAGAGCTTATTTAAAAAAACACTGTATAGGAAGGGGAACCTGGACATGTAGCTGTGAAAATTTTTTTGTGGGAGGAGATGCTAGCTAATTTAAATGGAGCCATCCTGAGAGAGAAGAGTGAGTGAATGAGTTAATGGAAAGTTCTTAGAACACTGGTACATCCTAGGTATACCATACATTTTAGTTGTTTAATGACAAATGTGAACCATGAGAAAAGATAGTGGAAAGCAGGAAGCAAATAGGAAATGAAAGGATTTGGACTTGGAATTTGTATCAATACAATATAATAATAAAACCTAAAGATGACTCGAACCGTGTATTATGAAGAAAATATGAAAAACCAGGGTTATTTTTAATGTTGAAATTTAAAACTTCAAAAGCATTTTTTATGATTTTCTGAACAGAGCATGAAAGGTTTTAGATTCATTTTTCTGAGTAATGATTCCAGAAGCTACCAATGCTTTTTGAGTGCCCACACTTGCCATTATGCTGTATGCATTATTTCACCCTTCTGAGGTAGGTGCTATTTTCTCCATTTTATAGACAAGGAAAGGCTCAGATTCAGAATCTTGCCAAATTTCATGCAGCTGTAATAGAGCTGAGATTTGGTCAGGTCTGATTCTGAAGCTCATGATTTCTAGGAGGCTGTCGTGCTGCCTCATTAAACAACTTTTTTTGTAGAATTGCAACTCTTTAAAGAAGTCTGTCTATGGAGATTTATATTGACTCTATAAAATAGCTATGTTAGAAATTTTGTGTGTCCTTCCCCCAGATAAACATCCTTACTACTATTTCTTTTTGATAAAGCAATTGTTTTGTCATTTGGTCTTAAATAAGACACAACCCCAGTGTAGCATATGCTGTTAGTGGGTTGTGGCATTTTCATTTTTAAAAAGATGATTTTTTTAAACTGAAGACTAGATATGAACCCCAGTTTTTGTGCCGTTCAGTCACCCGGATCCTTAAACTTACATGGTACATAATATACACTCTTAGAAATAACAAACAGGCATTTTTCTTATAATCACATTAGGATTTAAAAATGGAAAGTGGTTTTTTTCCTGCTGTATCCCTGCTTTCAACTGAAGTTAAACACTTCTCAGTAGTTCAGAATGCATTAGGGATAAGCACACTTTAAAAGATGTTTTCTAACCCCGAATTTTATGACATCTGTTGAGAACAAAATTTTGAGTTAAGGAGAGAAATGGTTGAGGCCATTATGAAATGGGAGAATCAACATTTTAAACACTGTAAGCATAAAAGAACACTTTTTTTTTTTCTGCCTGCTGTTTGTAAAAGCTCTCTGGGAGGATCTTTTACGAAGACCAATTTTTTAAAATGTAATTTACCTACCTAATATAAGTGTCCTAAGACATGTATGTAAACTTCCAAAACTGTTTTGTCTGTGTATTTAGAAAATACACAAGAATCTTTTATCAAACCTAAAAATATAAACTTGTGAGCACTAAACTGCTTCTGGCTTTGTGAATTTTATTGACTGACATTTAATTCAGATTTGTTTGCAAGTGTACTAATTTGGGCTAATTGGGGTGGGGGAACACCTTTGTAAAATTTGATTTATGTATAATTTAGATATCTTTGTACTTAAAAAGTTTGAATTGCAGAGTATTTTGAGGGGTTTTGTTTATATGTTTTTATATAAAAGTGCATGAATGACTCAAACTACCTCCTGATACTCCTTAGAGAGCTATTTTCCAAAATAGGTAGACAGTGATTACATTCAGTCTGTGAGACTTTCAGGATTTTCTGGCAGGCACGTCCAACTTGTGACTCACTTTTTTGCCCCCCTTACAAAAAAAAAAAGAAAATTTTTTATTTATATATTAATATATTTTATATGCAAACCATGACAGTTCCTCTTTACTCAAAAGACAAGGCGAAAAGAAAGTCAGGCCGCACATGGTTGTACATACAGGTTTTAAGAAACATCTAAAAAACAATTCCCCTTATTATACTTGTACATAATCTTGAGGAAATGGGCTATCAAAGGTAAACTGCTATCCTATGTTTACTGTATATTGGATTAGTATATTGTAAGTAAATACAAAAGTTTGAACTTTATTATACTTTTCGTTTTGTTGAGGCCAGCTCTCACTCTAGTTGAGGCTGGACTCAGTATGTAGCCCAGGCTGTCCTCAAACTTGTGATCCTTCCATCTCAGCCTCCCAAGCCTCCTGGGATTACAGGTGTGCACTACAATACCTGGCTTGGTTTTTTAAAAGTAATAGACAAAAGGAAATTGTAGAATGACCAGATACTCTTATTTTACTAAGGAAGAGAGAGTTCTGGTTTAATTTGGTGAAGGGCAAAGTAAATAGACCCACATGGCTATTTTGTTTTTTTTCTTTTGAGACAGAGTCTCACTTTGTAATGCTCATTGGTCTTGAACTCACTAGCCCAGGCTGCCCTGGAATTCACGGCAATCTCCTGCCTCAGTCTCCTGTGCTGGGATTGCAGGTGTGCACTGCCACACCGGGCTCCTTGCCTAGCCATTTAACATATAAAGAATTGTCTTGGGGCAGAAGGGTTAAGATACGTATTCTATGTCATTCCAGGAGGTAATAATTAGGACCACTTGGCTCAAGATTAAAAAGCAGTTATTATCCAAAGATAAAATAGGATTGCTTGAAGGAAAAAAAACCCCGAAAAACTACCACTTGTAACATTCTGGGTAAAGTAAAAGATTACCTCACAATCATTTTGGTTAAGGCAGTATTAACCGAACATTTCTATGTCAGTGCTTTTTTTTAAGTGTTGGGACCATAGAGTTTGCTTTTTGTTTCTTAGTAAATAATTGATAGAATTGTGTATTATATATTTCATGAAGAAAATTTTGACACTGAAGCAGTTTGGAAAATTTGGAATGAATGTAGGGATGAAGTTTAACTTTATGGAAAAATACTACAGAAGCATTTCTCTTGTGTCTTCGTCACAGACCATGGTTTGGGAGCAGTTGTAGAAAATTGAATTACTGGATTTATGGTTAGTTACAAAAATTAAAGGTACTTCAGAACTTTGTGGCATAACTGTCTTTCTGAAGTTTGAATTAAAAGAGGAATTTGTTTTTTTAAATAAACAAGAAATCTACTCAGTTATAGTACATGATGACTTTTGTTAAGACTTCTGTTAAGGCTGCCTCCTTACCATCAGCCAGATTTATTTTTCACAACATGACCAGTCTTAAATTTGGCAGTAAGAAAATACTAATCTAAAAAAAAAAAAAGGAATACTAATCTTAGTGTAACTAGGTATGTATTAGATTAGAATCTTAGTGAAATATACACACAAGACTGTCAGACTTGGCATATGTCCCAACGTTGGTGAGAGAACAATACATAAATGGTTTCAAAGTAATGTAGAATGATGTAGGTTGGGAGTGACTTTAATAGACTATCTAGAGAAGAATACCCAGAGAGGTTAAAATTAACTGCAGTACTCCTGAACTTCCTGTTTCAGTATCTTCCCTGTATCAAACTTGCTCGAATATTTAACATCAGAAAACTTTGAAATTAGGAAACTGCAAAATACACTCAAATACTGTATCTGGCATGTAGTAGTCAATGCTCCAAACTGTTTACTAATGAATGACTAAAGGTAGCAGCACCTTTAAGGATTTTGCTTATTAGTATCATATGGCACATAGCTAGCAAGCCAACTTCATTTCGAGGTGTTGTCAAGCATGTGACGTGGGGTTACCCTGAGCCTTTTGGCCCTTTTCCGCCAATACGCATAAGTCATAAATGACTATACCCCAAGATGTAATGACCAAACCCAACCTAAAGAATGACTCTTTAAATAGAGATCACAAGGGCTGGGCATTTAGCTCAGTGGTTCTGCTGCCTGCCTGGCAAGTGCAAGGACCCGAGTTTGATCCCTGGTACTCCCCACAAAAAATAGAGATCACATTTTATGATTTATTTTTACCTAGTCTATTTCTGTAATTGAATACATTAGAACTATTAGCCATTTGCCGCAGATAGTTGTTTTAAAATAATGACTGGTACAGCTACCACACATACCTAAATGTTTTAACAGTGTATATGTGAAAACTAGGAAGAAAGCCCTAATTGAGTTTGGTGTAGAGTTTGGTATACATCAATAAAGATATTTTTACAATCTGATGTTTTAGTTGCTAATAGATTTTTGTGTTTGTGAAGACTTAGTAGATGTTGGCATAAGGTTTTACCATGTGAAAAGCAAATATGTGTTTACATGAAAGACAAAGAGGTGCTTAATACTTTTGTCATCTTCTTCCCTATTAAGTCATCCACTTAGATTTTTTTCCCCTGTCCTCTAACTAGAATGGTGTCATTTACATGGACACAAATTTGCCACACTAATTTTTCAAGTATAATGGCCCTCCATTTCCATGGAGTCAACCAAATTCAGATTGAAAACTTTTGAGGGGAAAACTGCATATGTATAAAACACTTAGGCTTTTTTCATTGTAATTTAAACAATATAGTGTAACTGTATACTTAACATTTACATTGTTAGGCATTAAAAGTAAATCTAGGAGTGATTCAAAGTCTTCAGGAGGATGTGTGTTGTTCATATGCAAATACTGTGCCATTCTGTATAAAGGATTTGAGCATCCTTCAGTTTTGGTATGCTCCAGGGGTCTTGGAACCAATCCAAGGGGTTTTATTTCCCCAGACATGACACATAAGACTAATCACCAGTTACATTTTTACAACAGTTCATTTCAAAAAGTAGCAAGTGTAGAAATTGGACTGGCCCTCCAAAGTATTAGTTTGGGGTCATTACTTATAGCGAAGGAAATTTAAAGAAGTTAAGATTAAATTCTAGAATTTATAGGTATGTATAGGTATGACTTTAATTGGTAGTCTCAAATTTGCCTCCTTTTTAGATTTTATTTCTTAGACTTAAAAGTGTTTTTTTTAATTAAAATCTTCATGAGACTGAAGATAGCTTTTTAAAGCCAGTAATCATTCTAAACCTTTGCCCCTTTTTTGCCTTGTGAAGGTAGCTTACTCTTTGGCACCCTAGTATATATTTGCTGGCCTTTCTCATTCTCACTGATGACCTAACAGATGAGAGAATTTCAGTCTGTAGACTATTCCTCTTTGGCTGAATATGTACCCAATGGATAAAGTAGCCATTGATGAGAAAATGCTGGAGTCTTTTGAGGGGTATTGTGGTTCATATGTTCTTAGCAATTACCTGTGCTGCTGATAGGATAGGAAAAGATGCAAAATTAGGCAGGAAACTCTTTATCAAAAATGCCCTATGTTTCAGCTTTTTTTAAAAAAAGACCTCACTATGTAGCACAGGCTGGCCTTGAACTTACAGCAATCCTCCTGCCTCATCCTCCTGAGCGCTGGGATAACAGGCATGCTCCCCCATGTCTGGCATTTCAACTATTATTAAAAGCAGTAGTGTGTGGGAGAGGTAAGATAAGCAAAAATACAAAATAGTGTTCATTAAGTTAAAATGATGTGTAATACCCAGCACTTCACATTTCTCCCTTAAACATACAAAGGAAAAAACTTCTTTCACCTTGAAAACACTTTCTTAAAGCCATTTGTGTGTGGGGTGTGTGTGTGTGTGTGTGTGTGTGTGTGTGTGTGTGTGTGGTATGGGGGACTGAACCCAGGACATTCGCACTGAGGAACATCCCCAGTCCTTTTTTCATTTTTATTTTCAGACAAGATCTTGTTCAGTTGCCCAGGCTGGGCTCAAACTTGTGATTCTCCTGCCTCAGCCTCCCAGAGTGCTAAGATTACAAGCATGCACTCATGCCCAGTTTATTAAAACCTTTTGGGGAAAAAGACTCACTCTGTCACAGGCCTTGTATTTTTCTTTTTCTTTTTTTTTGGTACCAGGGATTGAACTCGGGACCTTGTGCTTGTAAGGTAGGCAGCGGCACCACTGAGCTAAATCCCCTGCCCATAGGCCTTGTATTTTTGTCTTAACTGGCAAGCATAACAGTTAAGGGGCTTGAGGGTACAGCTCAGTGGTATAGTGCTTGCCTAGCATGCATCAGGCCCTGAGTTCTCCCCCCAGCATTGCAAAGCAAAAACAAATTGATATCCAGTTCTTTTTTTAGAGCATGAATATTTAATTTTTTAGGTGCCTCATTTCTCTGTTGGTTGTTTTAGCCAACTTTCTTTTTTGGTACCGGGGATTGAACTCGGAACCTTGTACTTTCAAGGCAGGCAGCAGCACCATTGAGCTAAATCTCTGGGCCTCTGTTGGTCGTTTTAGACAAGTCCGTCAAACTAGAAAAGCTCTTAGAAGATGCAGGCAGTGTGTATTCAGAAATGACACCTTCGTAGAGTCTGCCTCGTATATTAGAGGGGTTGAGGCGATGAAGGGGTAAAAGAGTTCCCTATCCTTCAGTCATTTCATAGTAACACAGAAATACACACAGCTCAGTAAAATTGCAGGTGCTTAGGTTTAGTGTTCATTTCCTTTTTTTTTTTTCT